TGTTAGTATGTTTCCTTCAATGCTCTGTCATCTGAAAACTAGTGGGAACTTTTACAAAGAATATATATCCTGGGAGTTTGAAGAAATAGGTTTGTCTCTGATTCTGACATTGGTAATCTCCTTGCTCGAGTCATCTCCAAGTTCATCCTCAGTAGAAATGATATAATGTGTACAGACTACTGTGAGATACTTGGAAGGATAAATCTGAGTGGAAGAAGGAAAGAAAAGGAAACAGTGAAATGACACACATAAAGGACTTGTGGTGGTGCCTCGCACACCACCTTGAAGAGGTCCACAAGCAGTGTTGACTTCCCCCTTTTTGCTTCTGAGGGGCCCCTTTCTACAGCATGACCTTCCTGTGTGGCTCACAACATAATTTCCAGCACTCATAAAAGTTGCCTCAGAGTTGACTTCAGATTTGGAGATGTAATGATAGTAATGATAGTTCCCTCTTGTAATAATATGTCCCTGTAATTTGACACCCATAGGGGCTGTTCTGTAGAGAAGGAGGGTCTGCTTCTTGAAGTCTGTCCTTCAGCGCCTCATCTCTGGGTGGTTTTGAAGGATCATTTGTTAGAGGCTATACAGGACCAGAGACCACATTGCAAAGACTGGGTATTTTTCAGTTGAACTGTCCTTTTTTTTTCCTAATTCAAGATTTTATTTATTTATTTGTCAGAGACAGAGAGAGCACACCAGCATGGGGAACAGCAGGCAGAGGGAGACTCAGACTCCCTACTGAGCAAGAAGCCTGATGGGGGACTCGATCCCAGGACCCTGGAATCACAACCTGAGCCGAAGGCGGACTCTTATCTGACTGAGTCGCCCAGGTGTCCCAAGGCTGCAGACGTTTATGGTAATATGGCTTTTGCACAAAGAATGAAGACAGGGCATTTTGCCATAAAGGCAAAGAGGCCATAGAGGCCCTAAAATCTTACGTGGCCAGCTGCAGGTAAGGGCTAGTTGGAGTGGTGCTAAGACTTGTCTGGTACAGTGAGGCAGAGGTGGGCAAGGGGTTGGGGAATAAGGTCACCCTGTAGAAGAATGGGAGAGCCATGTCATACAATGTTCTGCCCTGCAGCTCCAGGGCAAAACGTACAGGTCTACAGGAAGGGGAAGAAGAGCATGGCTAGAGGAAACTAAGAAAAATAACCTGGAGGACCCCAAATCTGAAGAAGGTACAAGAAATGTTTAGGTGCCTTTATATGGGGCTAGAGAGACGAGCCTCCTTGGCGGTGACAGACCATCCCTAATGGCAATTTTGATGATGGAAGACGGGGATCGAATTGTAAGGAAATATTTTTAAAAAGAGAGAGAGAAGAAATGTAGGTCTTGTCTCTGAGCTCAAACTATAATCAGATGATTAAAAATGAATCATTGCCCCCCAAAAAAAGGTTGGGGGGGGGGAATCATCGCCAGCTGAAGTGTAAGAAAACTCCAGGAACAGAACTAATCCTGGTCTTGGACAGATTCTGGCAGCTGTGACCAAACCTGTATTTGAGGGTGTTAGTCCTGGGGCGAGCATACCCATTCCTGGCAAAACACTGCTTTTTCTTTCCTTTTATTTTTGGAATCATGCCTCTTTTCTTTTGGCTTTTACTTTCTCGCTGTAGAAATTAGTTGTGGTATTTAGATTAGAAATTTCAGGACACATGGGTGGCTCAGTTGGTTAAGCATCTGCCTTCTGCTTAGGTCATGATCCCTGGGTCCTGGGATTGAGTCCCATATCAGGCTTCTTGCTCAGTGGGGAGTCTCTTTCTCCCTCTGCCTGCTGCTCCTACTGCTTATTCTCTCTCTCTCTCTCCGGCAAATAAATAAAGCTTGTGCTCTCTCTCTCTCTCTCTGGCAAATAAATAAATAAAATCTTTTTAAAAAATAAAAAACATCCGCAGCTGCTTCGCCATCTCCACACCTCATTTTTTTCTCTTTTCCAGAAACCCCCCCCACACACACACACCTTAATGTGACAGTAATAAATAGTTCTGCTTACCAAAGGTTTAGTGCATGCCGGGTGATTGTGATAGATATTTACTTACATCACTGATCCTTGTAGCATCCACAAGGGTAGATATTTTATATTAATTTTAGATAGGAGGAAACCAATTCTCAGATTGTTTAAATAACCCCCAGATCATGCAACTCCAGAGCAGGTGCTGTTTCTGTATGTTGCATTTCAGCCTGTGGAGGCCCAGGTCAGTTTTTGTTGCTTTGTTCATTTCAGCTCTTCACTTTCAGAAACAATGTTGTCTCGCCAAAAAGAAACACATTCCGCTGCCCTTTATAATACATCACCTTGCTGTTTTATTTTTTCTTACATATGCTTCTGCTCTGTTTATCTTCGTACCTATTCTGAGGAGTTAAGTTCATAATAAGGATGTAATCCTTATTCTAAAAATAAGTCCATAAGCACCTTCTTTGTTGCTCTCTTCTGTATTGTCATCCTTATGGCTGCATAATTTTTGTCAAATGGGTTTATCATCGTTTTAAAAGTTTTTTTTTTCCTATTGCAGAACCTTGAGGTTATTTCCATTTTGCACTGAGATAAATTATGTTATAATAAGGATATTTATGTACTTTTTAAGATTAATGGTAATACACAGACTTTTAAAGCCTTTTTTATTGTGGAAATTGTGACATATTCACAAGAGACTAGAAGGAACCTGCACCCTCCTATCACTCCTTTCAATAAAAACCGACATTTTGGGGCGCCTGGGTGGCTCAGTGGGTTAAAGCCTCTGCCTTCAGCTCAGGTCATGATCTCAGAGTCCTGGGATCGAGCCCCGCATCGGGCTCTCTGCTCAGCAAGGAGCCTGCTTCCTCCTCTCTCTCTGCCTGCCTCTCTGCCTCCTTGTGATCTCTGTCAAGTAAATAAATAAAAATCTTAAAAAAAAAAAAAAACAACTAACATTTTGCTTATGTTGTCTCAGTGACTCCACCACTTTTTTCTTGAGAACATGAAAGAAAATTTCCAAGTATCTTGTCATTGCATCAGCACAGACTTGTAACTGCTTCAGTGTCCTCTAACAGTCTATGTTTAAATATCCCTGATTATCACCAGAGTGACTTTTCACATTTGCTTTGTGCAAGTTAGGATCCGAATACAGTCTGCAGGGCACATGGGTGGCTCAGATGGTTAAGTGTCTGCCTTTGGCTCAGGTCATGATCCCAGAGTCCTGGGATCAAGTCCCACATCGGGCTCCTTGCTCAGCAGGGGGCCTGCTTCTCCCTCTTCCTCTGCTGTTCTCCCTGCTTGTTCTGTCTCGCTCTCTCTGTCAAATAAATAAATAAAATCTTAAAATACGGTCTACACATTGCAATTGGTTGTTAATGTCATTAAAGTTTCATTCATTCTAAACAGTGCACATACACACACACATTTTTTAATGCCATCAATTTGTTGGCTGAACCATGTCAGAACTTCTATAGACTGTCCAGCATTTCTTTTTTTTTTTTTTTAAGATTTTATTTATTTATTTGACAGACAGAGATCACAAGTAGGCGGAGAGGCAGGCAGAGAGAGGAGGAAGCAGGCTCCCCGCTGAGCAGAGAGCCCGATGCCGATGCCAGTCTCCATCCCAGGACCCTGGGATCATGACCTGAGCTGAAGGCAGAGGCTTTAAACGACTGAGCCACCCAGGCGCCCCGACTGTCCAGCATTTCTAAGGTTGGTGGTTTCTTCAAGGTAGCCTCAACTACTATGTTTATCCACTATATTTATTTTAGCTGATAGTTGGATGTGAGAGCTTAAGAAGTTTGAGGTCAAACTTAGCATACTTCTTAGAACATTTTACCAGGTTATAAGCTTCTTTTCTTTATTGTTCTGCCAAAAAGCCTCTTTTGTGGGCAGTTCATTCATATACAAGCCCATTCATGTCAGGCGCATGTAACTGGATTGCTGCCAATCCCAGCCTCTTCTGCCCCACGTACTGGACCCAGTGTTAACATTAACTGATGTCCTGATAGCCCATCAACCTTAGTAGAGATCTAGGAATGGCCTGAAATAGTTTTGAAAGCAGTTAGTGGCCCAGGAGAAACCTGGCTTTGAAAGAGAAGCAATTGAGAATTGAGGAAGGAAGCCTCAACTGTAGACATTGAATGTTCTGGTTCACAGGTTAAATTCAAGTAGATCAGGCGTAACTGTCATATTGATGCCTTTACATGTCAGAGAAGGGCTGAGACCTACCTCTGGTTTTAGGCTTCTATACTCATTGAACTTAGGGTAGTTTGAGGTTCCTCCTTCTTAGAGTGTTAATGGGAAAGGCCTTCGTCATAAACCCCTAAGTTCCATCTGCTTCCATCTGCTTCCTGAGTTTGGTTCTATCATCCTGAATCCTTGGACACCAGGAGGGAGCCCTGGCTAGAGCAGGGTGCTAGGACACTTTTCTTTCTCCCTAGAACACATTCTCCTTGTATTTTAGACACAGTGTTTGAGGGCCTCTTCAGGGCCACACATAACGCCCAAAGTCCCACCAAACAGACCAAAGAGATGTCCAAGATGTGAGATTCCCAGAATTGCCCAGGAATTGGGAGAGGCAGAGCGAGTCTCCTGTCTTTCTGGTCCCAGGAAATTGTAAGGCATGTGTGGTTTTACCATTAAGTCATTAGGCAAAGTGGGATCTTCCACATCCTGGTTGCCTGACTCTTCATTCCAACCCACTACATCTGCACACCCTGTAGGTAAAGCTTCAGCGTTCCTGTGCAGGAAAATGTAACGTCCCACAGCACACAGCAATCCTCTCTGCCATCCTGCAACTAAAAATGCAGGATCAAGGTGCTGTTATATTTTTCAAACGTATGCCAAAGGCAGTTATATTACTGTGTTCATGGGAACATGGGTGGAAACAGCTCATGACGATAGCTTCAGTGAGATGAGAGCTGTGAAGTGCTTTATTTAAGGGGGTGGCTTCTCTTTGGGGACTGAAGTCAGTGATCTGAATGTTTTTCTTTTATCTGTTTGGACAGGCTAAGGAATGGAGACTTTGAATTTTGACTTTGAGCTGTAGGAACAGAGAGACTTTCTTCATTCTTTCAGCTTCTGGTTGCTCATTTGTTTTGTTCGTTGCCACGGTACGGGATAGCCGCCCCCACTAGCAGGTCAGTCACAGAAACCGAGGATCTGAAAATGGGGGAGGGGCTCCACATTAGGTCATCTAATCGTGTATGGCATTGTTTAAAATTGTTTTCGGCAACTTGGTCTTTGCCCAGTTTAAATGTTAACCATTTTTTCCCATTTACTTTTCTTAGGAGGTGGCTTGGCTGTGTATGAGGTATTACTGAGAATCCTCACGACTCTTCCATTTTTTGCTGCTTGTCTCCACATATGCCTCTTCCGGCACAGTAAGCGATTCTCTTTTTCAATTCACCTTTAAAATACTCACAGCTTTAAAAATGGACACTCATGTAACCTGCAGTCTATTTGCAGCACTGTTCTTTGTATGATTCTTACTACTCTGATAGTCCTATGTGTGTGCAAATACTGTGAGTACGAGGAAATGTGTGTGCGATGGAGTATTGGTGAGTTGCCATCAAGGAGAGGAGAAAACAGTGTCCTTCCTGCCTCTTTTGGTTTTAAACACGTGACACAAGGAATAGAAGTGAACTTGGAAGGAGGATATTGCTTGAATCTCGAGTTTATACCGATAACTAAAGTAAGGATCTCTTTAAATGTTAAGGTTTGGTATTTCTTTGGGTTAGCAAGACCTAGGCTAGAGAGGGTGGTGTTTTCTTAAGCTAGCCAGTGATTTGCCAGTTAAGCCCATTTGGAAGTTACGAGGCTCTGTACTCAGTGGAAGGCAACAGTGTCTTGGCTGGTAGAGTCAATCATAGTGGACTTCACAGCTAAAACAGGACCTAAGAGAGCACATTGTACCTTGTACATGATAAACTGAAGCTGCTGAGTTTTTCTAGATCCCGCAGCTGTTAGTTGCTGAGCCTAGTTAAAATTTTTTCCCCCAATCCCTATGCTTTAAGTTTAGACGATACTAAGTAGAAATGTGCTTTCTTTTACTTTTTTTTTTTTTTAACTTCCTATCATGGATTATTTCTCATTTTATAATAAGTGTTAGTTTTATATTCAATGTTCTTATCACTTAATGGTGTTATTTAGCAGGCGCCTGGGTGGCTCAGTGGGTTAAGCCTCTGCCTTCAGCTCAGGTCGTGATCTCAGGGTCCTGGGATCCAGTCCTGCATCGGGCTCTCTGCTCAGCAAGGAGCCTGCTTCCCTGACCCCTCTCTCTCTGCCTGCCTCTCTGCCTACTTGTGATCTCTGTCTGTCAAATAAATAAATAAAATCTTCAAAAAAAAATAGTGTTATTTGGCAAATACTAAAAAATGAACAGGCCCACCAAAATGATGCCAGACTATGTCTCTTTGTTGGTCATTTTGAAGTTGTAAAAACAGTGAGTAACTCCATTATGTTTCTTTGCCTGAGTTTTCATCAGCATCAAAAATATATATGTTCACTAATGCAGGAAGGACAAAAATCATTCAAGTAGTAAGTGAAGAATGTTGGTAATTATTTCCCAGGTCAATGACAAAAATTTGCCCCTCATCCTCACTGATGGAAAATATAAGTTAGTTGGCACCAAAAATGGATAATCACTTTCTGCTTTGAGATCTGGTATAGACATAACGCTTTGCTAGAAAAAGAAAGTATATATCCTTTGTGCTTATCCAGATTTTGTCTTTTCCTTTCAGTGCCTTCCATTTATTTAATTCTTTTGTTTGTTATTATTAAAAACCCATTTATTGAGGGATAATTGACATATAAAGACTGTACGTATTTAACGTACACAACTTGAGGAGTTTGGAGATAAGTATACACCCATGATACCATCACCACGATCTGTGCCATAAACCTGTCCATCACCTCCAAAAGTTTTCTGCCGCCCTCTTTACTTACTTTTTCTCATTTATTTAATTCTTATCTTCTGGTACTCTACTTTTGAAAAGACCTTTCTGTAATCCATGAATACCTTTCACTCTTTGTTTGATAATGTTAACTTGCTGTATCCTAATCATATCCTGTGAATATATATGATTGGTAACTCAGGGAAATTGGAAGGTTCAACCCAATATAGTGGTCAGTCTATATTTATTTCCTTCCATTGCATAAACAGTTCTGGCTTTTAAACAAAGGAGTAAATTTCTGTGTGTATGGATGCAGCTAAAATAAAAAAGCTGGACTATCAGACATGAATCAAATGTGCTATACAGACTAATCCATTATTCGAATATATCTGGGACTGCATGAATTAATCTTAATCATGTCTATTCTTTTAAAAACATCAACAGTTAAACATTGCATATCTCATTATTAAAAATGGTCTTGGAGCTGAGATGTAATCTCCTAAATTAAGGAATAAAAATAAGAGCAAGATGATCCAGCTAACCATTTTTCTTCTTCAAACTTGAAATAAATGGAGATCAAGAAAGTTAGACATCTTTAAATAAATCAGAGGTCTTATGACATTTCTAGTATTTTATTAACAAAGTTTTGATTTGATTTATCTCTTTAAAATAACTAGCAAGGTATTCTCTAAGTGCTGAGACATAAATTACAAACACGAAACCTTGATTTATGGTAATGGTGGATAATATGTGGGACATGGCAAGTTGTCCTGGATTTTACAACATTCCTCAAGTTGGGGGATGGAATCATAGAAAGTACTGGAATAAAGTTGTTGCCTTGGGCCCCGTTCGTTGATATATAGATGATGGCTGTCTTCTGAGAAATGATATAATCCTGATGATGTGAACTTGAACTTCTCTCCCAGGCACCTCCAGATTTTAGCGAAATCAGCTCAACATTTCCAAGTTCCTGTGATGGATCAGAGGCATTCAGATCTCTGCAAAGACATCAGAGGAGGAAAAACAAAGAAGTGTCTGCGTTGGTAAATACGGGGTCTCTGCGATCTCTTGCAGAATGTTAATATTTTCGTATTTCTCAAAGTACCTTCATCTCCCCCACCTCCTAGACCCTCAGTGACACCACTGCCCAGAACTTTCAATTCTGTGTCAGTCCAAAGCAAGCCCTCTGTAATGTTTACCGCTGAGCATTACCAGGGAGAAACTGCCCAGTTCTGCAGATCGGCCCCACATCATGCTTCCATTTACCAACCTCAAGAACTGTCATCGGCCTCGTGCACCATCTCCTGTTCTTTGCCTGGCTGACCTCTCCCCGGCTTTTAGGTCTCAGCATACACTTAAAGCCTCAGAGAAACCCTCCCCAATCTCCCTATCTGATTACACTCTCCCCGGCCTGGTTTCCTATTCATTTCTTTTGTGATGCTTTGCAATTTATAAATTTTTGTTTAGTCTCTGCCTGACTTACTGTTTGTCTCAACTAATTGTACAACTAATTTCTTGTACCCGGGGACAGCATCTGTGTTTTTAATACCCATAATATAGCTCTTCTTGCCACACAGTAGGCACTCAGGGAGAGTTTTTGTGTGAATGAATGAATTATAAGATTGGGTTTGGAGATAAAACATTCTATAGTAACAAAAGGAAGTTTAGAAAGCATCGCCATCTGTGAATCGCCTTGGCAGATGTCAGGCTGCGCACTGTAGTTGCATATGTCACATAAACATCGTGTGTGTGGTGAGGTAGTGAACAGACTCTTGTGCTCTGAATTTGGAGCACATGGCTGTTGCTGAGCCTTTCTAAACAGTGGTTCTCAACCTCCTTTTGTCTGCAGGTGCGCACAGGCTGATGCCCTGCTGACGTGTCCCACGTGACTATAGCCAGCATCGCGTGTGCTCCTACAGCCCTGGCTCTTCCCACACTTCTGTCTCTCCCACTCAGGAAACCACTCAAGGAAGTGAGTGGGTATGGATGTGAGGCCATTAGAAGGATTCCCTTGAATCTGTTCTCCTTTATATTCAAAAGCAAAAGATAAACCAGTTGTAAATTTGGGGTTTAAAAAATTTAGTCATGAGTTACTTGCTACGTATCTCACACCTGATCAAGACACATCAGTGTGGCATGACCTGTGATTTTTAATTGGTGGGTTTTTTTTTTTAAGATTTTATTTATCTATTTGAGAGAGAGAGAGAGAGTGAGCACAAGCAGGGGAGAGGGGATTAGGGAGAGGGAGAAGCAGACTCTCCGCTGAGCAGGGAGCCCATGACCTGACCCGAAGGTGGAGGCCCAACCCATTGAGCCACCCAGGCGCCCCTGGGATGAATTTTTAAATACCAATTCAGGGGCGCCTGGGTGGCTGTCAGTTAAGTGTCGGCCTTCTGCTCAGGTCATGATCTCAGAGTCCTGGGATTGAGCCCCCATCGGACTCTTTGCTTAGCGGGGAGCCTGCTTCCCCCCTCGTTCTATCTGCCTGCCTCTCTGCCTACTTGTGATCTCTGTCAAATAAATAAATGAAACCTTTAAAAAAAAAAAAATTTATCCCAAACCACTGAGGAGAATTTTGTTGCTCATGTAAGCTCTGGGGAAGAAGAGAATACATGAGTTAAGAGTACAAAGAACCAAGCCCTACAGGAGAGGAACTCATGGAAATAATAATTGGATTAAAGTGTGCTCTGTGACTTGTAAGGTGTCGTCTCTGATGCACTCCCTCAATGACTAATGTAAAATAATTATTTAAGTTGAACCATATGAATGTAGATATGAGATATCTTTAGCTAAAAATACCATTTCATATGATTCAAACTAAATTGTTTATTAATATTTTCTCTTGTTTTTCAAAAATGCACTTGGAACTATCAGCACTTGTGAAAATGAGAAGAAACAGCATTAACAGTGGATTTCTTGGTCTTCCTTTTAGTGTCTTTTCTCAGTACAAGTAAACTAATCAATGAACCTGTTGATTGTGGTTACGCATCCCTAGCCCAGGACTGGTCTAAGTGCTATCTGGGGGATACAGAGGAGCTGGGGATAGCACCGGCCATAGAAAGTTACAATCCAGATGGAAGAACAAGATACATCTGGAAAATAAAACATTTTATACATACTAAATTATGCCTTTCTAACAAATAAAGAAGAATGGCTTGTCTGGCACTGTTGTTCTCTTGTCTTACCCTATATATTTTTTAAAAAACTTTTTATTTTGAAAAATAATTTTATATTAATTAAAGAATTACAATGATAGTACAGAAATATACTTAGCTTTCTTACATAACTATGATACAATTATCAAAGTAAAATATTGCCACGGGTACATTACTGTTCACGAAGGTACAGACTTCACTCAGATTTCACAAGTTTTCCTACTGATACGCTTTTTCGGTTCCAGGATCCAATCTGATGACAATACCACATTACCTTTAGCATACGTGCATTTTAATAATGATACTATATAAAAGAAAGAAAAAAAGCATTTTGGGGCGCCTGGGTGGCTCAGTGGGTTAAGCCTCTGCCTTTGGCTCAGGTCATGATCTCAGGGTCTGGGGATTGAGCCCCGTGTCAGGCTCTCTGCTCAGCGGGGAGCCTGCTTCCCCCTCTCTCTTTGCCTGCCTCTCTGCCTACATGTGATCTCTCTGTCAAATAAATAATATATAATAAATAAATAAAATCTTTTTTTTTAAGATTTTATTTATTTATCAGAGAGAGAGAGGGAGAGAGAGCGAGCACAGGCAGACAGAATGGCAGGCAGAGGCAGAGGGAGAAGCAGCCTCCCCACCGAGCAAGGAGCCCGATGTGGGACTCGATCCCAGGACGCTGGGATCATGACCTGAGCCGAAGGCAGCTGCTCAACCAACGGAGCCACCCAGGCTTCCCAATAAAATCTTAAAAGAAAAGAAAAGCGTTTTACCCGTACTCAGATATCACTGCTGATAATATTTTGGTATATCCCTTGACGACAACACACACATCACACATCACACATGTCAGGCTCCAACTGCATACCTGTCTTTGTCCTCTGTTTTTAAAAATTTAACAAATTATAAATACTACCCTATGTTATTAGTGTCTGAAAATATGTTTAACATGTGTGTAATTTTTACCATACGGATGTGATAACAAAAGCTATGTTCACACTCCACACACACTATGTTGAATGCTTGTGTCCATTTTCCCTCCTCCGGATGTCACTGTGATGATTTTCAGTGCACGTGAGCTCTGGGCAGGTTCCATATTTCTGTAGGTTCTTGACAAGGAAGAAAATATAAGGTGAAGATCTATGGATTTTCCCCTTTTATTATCTTTTTATTGAGACATCTTTTATTATAGTTTTAAATTCAAGAGCAGCACATTTAAACTACACTGAAATCTCTCAAATTGAAAATGAAACTCTTCTTCTACTCTGATAGGCTTACTTCCCTGAGGAAAAGAAAGTATTGTGAGGTCTCTGGCTTTAGTTTGAACCTGTGCTCCTGAAATTATGAGGGGTGTTTCCAGCAACAGTGTAAAAATGCAGCTTGAAATCTGAGCTTTTTTAAAGTGTGCAACATTCCCATGGGATCTCAGGAAGAATATTCTAGCTCCGTTATCTTTTGATTTGTGGCCAAGGGTGCCATTCCTTGGACATTTCCTGTTGTGTGTGGATGACCATTTTTATTTTCAGGATTTGGCTGCTTGTTTGTTACCGGGGAGTCAGTTTCATGACTAGGTAGCAGAGAGCAGCACTGGGAAAAAAGGATCTCCTGATTGTTCCTGCCTCTTCGAGTAGATCATTCATCTCTTCTGAAGACACTGAGGCCCGCAGGGGCAGGGCCTGGAGCTGCCATCCGTTGGCACTGTTGTTGGCCATGAGAGGATTAGGGAAGCGTCCTGGGTCCTTGACTCCTAAAGTCATTATCCTATGGTTGGACACTGAGCACACTGTCAATGTTGGAGCTGACCACAAGCAAGGAACAGAGCATGGATAATGAATGTGGCAGAGTATGGCCTCTGAAGTGAGACAGGCCTGGGCTCAAATTGGTCGGATCCAGAGCCTACTAAGGATTCTTTGCCTTTGAAGTAACTGAGCCCCTCTGCACCTGAGCTTCCCAGCTGTAAAGAGGTTGTTAGACACTCTGTTATGTAATTTAAAGAAGATGTGAAAATGTTTGGTTCTATTTACCTGACACGTCTGTGCCATCAAATAAAAGTTTGTTAAATGAAGGGATGGATGAATGACCCATGGAGCCAGTTCAACCCCCTATTTTTAAAATGACCATTTGTGGGGCGCCTGGGTGGCTCAGTGGGTTAAAGTCTCTGCCTTCGGCTCAGGTCATGATCCCAGTGTCCTGGGATGGAGCCCCGCATCGGGCTCTCTGCTCAGCGGGAAGCCTGCTTCCTCCTCTCTCTCTGCCTACTTGTGATCTCTGTCTGTCAAATAAATAAAGTCTTTTTAAAAAAATGGCCATTTGTGATTGAAAGTATAAGAAATATCAATGCCATGAGTTAAACGTCAATTTCATTTCTTCCCCAGGGTTGTAGAAAACAGAAACCAACTCTAGCTAGCCAGCACGAAAGGAATTTATTGATGGGACACTCAGGTCCTGAAATCTAAGAGTTAAATTAGCCAGTCTTTGGATGGGCCAGATCTAGGCAATTCTGGGGACCTTAGAAAAAGAAAATCAGGGGCACCTGGGTGGCTCAGTGGGTTGAGGCCTCTACCTTCGGCTCAGGTCATGATCCCAGGGTCCTGGGATCGAGCCCCGAGTTGGGCTCTCTGCTCAGGGGGGAGCCTGCCTCCCTTCCCCTCTCTCTGCCTCCCTCTCTGCCTACTTGTGGTCTCTGTCTATCAAATAAATGAATAAAATCTTAAAAAAAAAAAGAAAAAGGAAAAGAAAATCATGGACCCCTTCTCTAAAGCGCCGACATCCATATTTCTCATTTTTTAGTGACCTGCAGTGTCAGATGGACCAGCTCTGGCCAGGGAGGTAGGGTTGGGTGGTATACGCACGGTTGCTGGAGGCCCCTCCCTTGTGTCAGGGACATTAAGGCCAAGGGGAGTATTGGGAGCTAAGAAATTTTTAAGGCTTTCATGAGGTGTAATTGTCGTATAATAAACTACACATATTTAGAATGTACAAATTGATACATTTTGATATATACATAAAGTTATATACAATTATATTTATGTTATATATATATTAATCTGGAAAGCTGTGATTGTGTTGGAAATAATGAATATGTCCATCATCCCAGAAAGTTTCTCTTTTTAAAAATGTGTTCTGTTCTTGGGGCGCCTGGGTGGCTCAGTGGGTTAAGCCGCTGCCTTCGGCACAGGTCATGATCTCAAGGTCCTGGGATCGAGCCCCGCATTGGGCTCTCTGCTCAGCAGGGAGCC